CAGTGCCTTAGAAATATACTCTTCATAGCTATTCACCCCTCTGCTGATTTTCAACATCAGAGACCAGAACAGAGTGCAGCAGACAGCTACAGTCATGTGTAAGTGCCTGTGGTGTGTATGCACACCTGGCCACTGGCGGTGCCCTGGGGGTTTCTCCACATGCTTTACCTGACTCTTCCTAACAAGAATCATTAGAAAAAGGCTTGAAAAGTCAATTATTATAAACAGCTTCAGGCATCACCAAATGTGAGTCAAACCCTCAAATTCTCTGATGGAGAAATGTATGTTTTGGTTAAAATTTTCCCTGTTCTTAAGGCTCTTACTCCAGATATAGCAGACAGGCAATAAATTTCCTATCCCCCAACTGACCCTCTTGAACAAGTAGGCTGAACCTGTGTGAGAATCCTGAGCCTAAGCACTGGTGTTCTACTTTTTTGAGTTTCTGGCCTTTGCCTAAAATCGCAGGACTGTTGAAATACCATGTTACAATCCCAGGGCACAGCCAAATAGACCAAAATAATTTTTTTCTTTTCTTTGCTGTTATATACCAATCTTTTCTTCATTATATTCTGTATATTCTTTGGTGTATCGTTTTAATAGCTCTGCGTTTACTTCTTCTGCCTTGGAAATGCAATTTCCTTTAATTTCTGAGATAAAAACCAGAAAACAGAATTGGAAACAGTGTCAGCTAAGTATGAAGAGAAAGAGAAGATTTAATTCAAGTTGGCAATGGCAACAATGTTTCCCAAAATGATTTAAAATACCCCCTACTGTAACATATATGCAACCTCATAACTGTTCTGGTGAAATGGCCTATCTCCTATTGCAGGATTTGATGTTGAGATGCAGAGACTGCTACTTTTATCTTGAAGTAAGACTGTGCTGCTTTGAAGCTTTTAGATGGGCAAACAGTCAAAGTGAAGACCCACTTAGGATTACAGGCGTCAGCCACTACGACTGGTCCCAACCCCTTTTTGACACTTTTCCCATCTCAGTAAATGGTTTACCATATCCTAAATTGCTCAAGAAAGAAACTTGAAGTCAACCTCAATACCATCTTCTCCAAGGTATTATATCAGGACTCTACCTTCAAAATATCAAATCCATCTGCCTCTTTCCATGCTGCCACACTGTCTCAAGCAACCAGCCTGCAAGAGTTTCCTAACTAGTCTCCCTGCCTTCTCTTAACACTCCCTCCACAATTCATCACACAATTGCCAAAATTTATATTTTAAAAATATAAGTAAGTTTAGCCGAAAACCTTGCTCAAAACTTTTCAATGTCTTTCTATTGCTCTCAGGATAAAATGCATACCCCTTACCATAGCCCATAAAGTCGTATGTGATCCAGCCCTGCCTGTCTCTCCAATCTTATCTGGAGTCATTCTCCCTCTTCTCTGGCTACATTCCAAATGCAATGATCTTTCAATCCCCAGAACATCCTAAGGTCTTTCCAACCTGAGTCAAATTTTATAGACAGATATCCAACCGCACAGGGAGTTGGTGCCCCTACCCCTGTGTTGTTCAAGGGTCAACTGTACATATTTGCTTATCTGTTGATTGTTTTCGCCCATACCTAGAAAGGAATACAAGGGCAGGGGCCATTTTATTCACTTTTCATACAGCCTGTGTATTCAGTACCTAGTGCAGTGCCAAGTAGATAGCAGGTATACTCAACATATATTTGCTGAATGAATATGGGCCTTGCCCTGAAAGCACTTTCCATGTGGGGCAAGGCCCTTCAGAAAATACCCGGTGGAGTGCTTCCGTGATTCTACTTAACTTTCTCGATTAGTGATTCTCCAAAGGAATTGTGCCCCTGGGTTTCATTCTGAGAGGACAATCTACAAAATGACTTGAGATATACAAGAATATTATTTCTACCATCAGTAGAGTATATAAGGAGGACAGTAGCCAAAGTAACTTTTTGGGAAAATAAATTTTGTGCCTAGGAATAAAAAACTCATAACAAAAAAGCAAAGCAGAACTGTAATAACAATTCTGTAAAACTTTACCAACGTTGAGGCCACATGACAGGGCATGATGGCATTAAAGAAGTACAAGATTTTTGAGGAAACAGGTGGTAAATTAAGTTTGGTCTAAAGTTGCCTCCATACATAGTGTGAACTGTAACCTACCTTAATGTGGAAATAAACCGTAACTTAACATAAAGAGGTTATAAGTATAACAAGTAGCTGTGTCTCAGCCAATGATAGCAGCTGACCCTCTATCCAATCTGAGGCTGAAGACTCCCAAAACGTGACTAAATAAGGCAAACATGGCACGGGCACCAATCAGGCTATTTTTGTATCTCATTTCCTTTCCTCTGACTATCATTAAGCCTTCATAGCCTCTGCTGTGGGGCAGAGCATCCTGACCACTTTGGTCCTCGGTGTTACCCGGGTCATGAACATTTTTCTGCTAAATTAACTTCTCTAGGGTTTTTATCCTTTTAGCACAGGCAATACTGCTAAACTTTTCCTCATTCTTTTCCCTAGAGCACTGGTTCTCATCTAAGGGTGATTTTGCCTTTCAGAGAACATTAGGTAATACATGGGGACATTTTGTTGTTACAACTGCCATGTAATGAAGGGTACTACTGCATCAAATAAGGACAAACCAGGGTTGCTGGCTAAACATCCTACAATGCATAGGACAGCCCCACAACAAAGAAGTACTGAGTCCAAAAGGCCAAGAGTGCCAAAGTGGAGAAACCTGCTTTAGAGGAGTATGTGATCAAAGCTTAATGTGATATAACTGATATGCATATATCATCTCTGAGACAACAGTGAGAAACTAATAAGAGTGACTGTTTCTGGGGAGAAGAACTGAGAATTTTGGGGAAAAGAGGAGTAGGTAGGGAGACCTACCTTTTAATTATACATACTCTTTTTTGCCTCTGAATTCTGTACCATATGTATATGTTACCTATTCAAAAAACGATAATAGGGCCAGGTGTGGTGGCTTATGCCTGTACTCACATCACTTTGGGAGGCGAAGGCAGGAGGATCACTTGAAGCTAGGAGTTCAAGATCAGCCTGGACAACATAGCAAGACCTTGTCTCTACAAAAAAATTTAAAAATTAGCCAGGCATGGTGGCAAATGCCTGTGGTCTCAGCTACTGTGGAAGCTAAGGTGGGAGGATCCCTTGAGCCCAGTGAGCTATGATCACACCACTGCACTCCAGCCTGGGTGACAGAGCAAGACCCTGTCCAATAAAAGTAATAACAATAATAATAATAACAACAACAATAGGCCTGGCACATTAGCTCGCATCTGTAATCCTAGCACTCTGGGAGGCTGAGACAGGAAGAGCACTTGAGGTTAGGAGTTTGAGACTACCCCGAGTAACAGTGAGATCCCGTCTCTACAAAAAATAGAAAAAATTAGCTGGGTGTGGTGGCACACACCTGTAATTTCACCTACTCGGAGGCTGAGGCAGGTGGATTGCGTGAGCCCAGGGGTTTGAGGTTGCTGTGAGCTAGGCTGATGCCATGGCGCTCTAGTCCAGGCAACAGAGCAAGACTCTGCCTCAGAAAAAAAGAAATAATAATAATCATCATAATAAAATAACAAAAAATAGTCATTGTGGCCATGACTATGATCTTGAAAGACAACCTTCAACTCATAGAACACTACTAAATAGAAAACAAAAAGAACAGGACCTATGTTGTAGAATGACTCCTGAATTATGAGTTAGAAAACTGGGTTTTGTTACTCTAAGCTGTGGAACATTGAGCATATTACTAAATCCTAACCTTTTTTTCTCATATGTAGAATGGGAGGATGATATGCCCTACATAGGGCACACAGAACTGTGAAGATCACATGACTTTATGCAGGCGAAATAGTGTATGAACTTTGAAGAGCTAATTATTTTTTAAAGGTCTTGGTATTATGAAAGAACAAGACTAGAAATGATAAAGAAGACCTTTAATATTGTTGCCTTTCGCCTGTAATCCTAGCACTCTGGGAGGCCAAGGCGGGAGGACCGCTCGAGGTCAGGAGTTCAAGACCAGCCTGAGCAAGACCGAGACCCCGTCTCTAATAAAAATAGAAAGAAATTAGTTGGACAACTGAAACTATATACAGAAAAAATTAGCCGGGCATGGTGGTACATGCTGGTAGTCCCAGCTACTCGGGAGGCTGAGGCAGAAGGATCGCTTAAGCCCAGGAGTTTGAGGTTGCTGTGAACTAGGCTGACGCCACGGCAGTCTAGCCTGGGCAAGAGAGTGAGACTTTGCCTCCAAAGGAAAAAAAATAAAAAAACATTATTGCCTTTCCAAATTACACATCATTTCATTGTCATGGGCATTAGGAGTTGCTCCCTGTTAACAGCACTGAAATTTATTTTTGCTGCCTACCCTAGGAAGATAAGCAGCTCAAGGGTAAGGTCTTCCTGTGATGAGCCACACAAGCTGTGGGCAATTATTTGATGATTTGCATGATTATAATAAAAGTTAGAAGAAGAAAAACTTTTTCCTATATCACTCAATTTGCTACAAAATAAGTAGAGTGAGGAATTTTGGCTCTGCTAGACCCCAGCAATAATCCTATGATTGGCTGCCTTAACAGAAAGAAGACAGTAAAAGCATTCATCAATACATATCTAGTTTAACCACCAACTTTTTTGTCTAACAGCTGGACCATGTGGGCATAGGCCAAAGAGCTAAATCTCTTACTCATGAAAGTACTGAGTCATGAAAATAACACCTTGAGTACTCATGTCTTTGAATGGCAAGGACTGCCAATATGTAGGAGTTGTCAGCAAAAATGATTAATGCTGATGATACTGTAAAGTTCTCTAGTTTTAGCAATTCTGAGCAGAATAAGTGAGACATCAGTCACCAGAAAAGAAAAAGGAAACTGTAGGTGTCTTACGTGATATACTTGTTATAAAGGATGAAGGCATGTTCAGTGTTGCCTTCCTCAGAATAAATGGATGCCACTCGGATAATCTCAACTCCAGAGCGGAAGTACCGACGGGGTGGAATGTCTTCATTCATCTCCACTGCACTACCCAGCTGGGAGAGAGCCCTCACTCGGTCTTCAGGTGAGAGGCTCACATCTCCATAGTCAGGCATCAGGACCAAGAAGTTCTGAGACAGAAAAGAGAAAACAGATGGCATCAACACCATTGCCCCCATCATCCCAGCACAGTCTAGCACAGTGTGTCTATCTCACAAACCTCTCCCTTAAGAAGAAAATAAGAGAAAATATCATGTGCTCTGTCTTACTTCAAATGAGGTCTCTTTCTTACAAGAAGGTTGAGACCCTCAAGGAAGCCTGAATCACAATGATGAGAGGATTGGCAGACTCAAAACCCCAACAATCCCTGTGTCCTAATGAGGTGGTACAAGGAGTATAACGATAATGGGTCACAGGGATTCAGTTCTATCCTTAAGTTAATCATTCCCTGTTATTAGGTGGCCCTGCTGCAGCACCATAAAAATAGTTACAGTCTATTATTTTCCATTATTTCTCCTTCCAGCTACCCACCTAAATCCACTCCAGTACCTGGCACAGCACACTCAGTGAACTTTCATAGAGATTGTTAATGGACTTCAAGTTTAATTACTTTTTTTTTTTTTTTTTGAGACAGAGTCTCACTCTGTTGCCCGGGCTAGAGTACTGTGGCTTCAGCCTAGCTCACAGCAACCTCAAACTCCTGGGCTCAAGCGATTCTACTGCCTCAGCCTCCCAGGTAGCTGGGACTACAGGCATGCGCCACCATGCCCGGCTAATTTTTTCTATATATATATTTTTAGTTGTCCAGATAATTTCTATTTTTAATAGAGACGGGCGTCTCACTCTTGCTCAGGCTGGTCTCAAACTCCTGACCTTGAGCGATCCACCCGCCTCGGCCTCCCAGAGTGCTAGGATTACAGGCGTGAGCCACCTCACCCGGCCAAATTTAATCATTTTCATTTAATCTGAGAGTAAATGACATTTTCTGTGGTATACTTTTTCATATTTGAGTATAAGGTTAGTTAGGGGAACTAGTCTGGAAATGAAGGATCATAATCATAACTCAACTTACTAAACCACTCTTCCAGTTAGTCTATAACATTGTTCATTATTATGGTGGCAAGGAATTTAGATCTTGAAAACAATTTACTCATCTTCAAAGATAAGCACTCTTTAAATAACAAAAGGGCCCGCAGGTAACTTGGAATGCAAAAACAAACTAAGGAACCTGGGAGTTTTCCTCCCTGTGTCCCAACTCCAGTAATTCTACAATCTTTGTAGATATAGTTGCCTAGAATCAGATTCCAGGCTGGGTGTGGTGGCTCACACCTGTAATCCTAGCACTTTGGGAGGCCCAGGTGGGAGGACTGTTTGAGGCCAGGAGTTCCAGACCAGCGTAAGAAATAGTGAGACCCCTGTTGCCACAAAATATAGAAAAATTAGTCACACACAGTGGCACACGCCTGTGGTCTGGGCTATTAGGGAGGATGGAGCAGGACTGCTTGAACCCAGGAGTTGGAGGTTGCAGTGAGCTATGATGATGCCACTGCACTCTAGCCAGGGTGACAGAGGGAGACTCTGTCTCAAAAAAAAAAAAAATCAGATTACAAATTCCAGTCACATATTAGCATTCTCCATCATCTCCAAAAGGAATCTGGGTATTTGATACACATTGAATTATAGTACACCCTACGCAGTACACTATACAAGCTAAAGTAGAATTCATCTTGGAATTCAAGGCCCTGTTATCAATTGGCCCCACCTTATCTCTTCCATTTCATACATTTACCCTTCCCCAACAGAGATTTTTTGCTTCAGTCAGGATTCCAATCTGCCCAGGGATTCTCACATTTCAGTTTCATTTGTCTATCCACTGCTTTTGTTTTCTACTACAACTCTTCCCTAGAGATAGTCTTCTCTGGGCCAATTCTATCTTTCGGTCTCTTCAATATTCGGGTCACACTTCCTTCACAGAGCGTCCCCTCTAAAACAAAATGGCACAAAAGCTGTGGGGACTACTAGGGATGCAGAAACATTCCATCTCCCATGAAGCCTCTTTTGGGATTCGGAAAGCCACAAACAAATCTAAAACCTCCCCAAGCCGCCTAATTAGTAAACCTTTCCACAGCTCAGGAAAACTAACTAGACGCAGGATGTTCGCTGCATCTTTATCTCTCGGGAGAGGTACTTGTGGGTCACGCAAAAAACCCCTTCCCGAGGCCAGTAAGCGGCGCCCGATTCTACCGCGTTGGGAAACTCCAAAGAGATGCAGCATCCACAAATAAGGGGGAAGGGCGGAGTAAAGGATTGAGGGGAACACAAGGAGGAAGCGACGGAAGTGGCAGGAATGAGCGGAGGGGGCGCAGACAGTGGAGAGGGATCTATAGTCAACTGCTTGAAGCAATCTTCTTGAAAGCACTCAAGCCAGCCCCAGGGAAATTCATCCAGGGTCTTGGGAATGCAGCAGGCAGGGAAGCTCCGGGCCTTGCTGGTCAGGCGCCCGCCTACGGGGAGCGGAGCCGTGAGGGGCCACGCGCGCGGCGGGTGGGGCCGGGTACGCGCGGGGAGGAGAAGGCTGCAGGCCCCACACTGACGGAGGCCGCTCCCCTTCGCAGTCCGACTACGCTCAAAGCCTCTACGGAGCACATTAACCTGACCCTTCGCCATCTTTCCCCGCAGATGATACTCCGAGCTTCCGGAAAGTCACATCCGGCGACCGCCCCGCCCACTCCCGCTCGGCGGCCAATTACACTCCCCAGAACAGCGACCGAGTGGGGTAGCTGGTGGGTGGGACTAGAATCGTCACCTGAGGAAAATCCGACCAATCAGAAGAGCGATGTATGGCTGTTTTGGTAAAGGAAAATGAATTGGGATGAAAGCGGAACTAATTACCAAGCTAAGATTTGCTTTTAAAATTACTTTGATTTGGCATAGGGGTTTCCTGCCAGATAGTCCCTCCATCAATCTCGCATAAACCCCACACTTAAGGAGGGATTGCCGATCCCAGTATAACTGCAGATTTAGCTGAA